CCCTTTTTTCCCCCCCCCCCCGGGGCCCCCCCCCCCCCATTCTCTTCAATTCTCTCCTCTTTCTTGCTGTCTTGTTTTTATCTTGCATCAAATTTGATATCAGAGTCGAAACTTGAGTAATTTTTCATCTACAATCCAAAACTTTTTCATAACCACTTTTCAAAAACTTGTAGAACAATACAAACGAAGGAATTTGTAGTAATGTAGTAGTCTTCTTTTATTTAAATTTTCTTTCTTAGTTGGAAAAAAAATCGTTACTGTTCACACTCGAAATTTCATTTTTTTTTTTTTTTTGCAATTTCAAAAAAAAAAACAGAGAAAAATTTGTTACAGATCTGCTACAATTTCAGTTCCATTGTACTGTTCACCCTTACTACATTTTCATCACACGTTGGCACCATATAACACCTACAACAAACCCTAGCCCTAATTCTATTCCATATACACAGCCCACTTACTTCCAACTCAACTCTTATATTCCCACACACGTTCCTTCTCCACAAGCCCAAATCCAGCAGCCCATTTCACATTCAACCCATATGTCCCAATCCATTTAACATAAAAACAAGCAACCTAATATCGCACCCAAGCTCAATAAATGACAAACTCATCAGGCCCAACTACCCAATCTCATTCACTTGACCTAACTCACCTTAGCCCATACGATTTCAACCCAATCTTCTTCGATCAAGCCAACATCCATATTCGACGCAGCTTCAGAATTTCAATCCCCCACTCCGGCGACCCATCAGCCGCTACTCCCGCCGACGACCTTCACGCTGGCAACCACGTGACCTGCTTCTTCACCACCGCCATCATCTTCAACTCTAATCATTAGTCATTTCCACCGCTGCCATACAAACCCCACAGTTCCTTCATCTATCGTCCCCGACCCCCACAAAATCATCAATCACTACCACTATCAACTACCGCTCACCGCAAATTACACAGCCCTCCCTACCGTTTGCATCTCAACCGTCGACACCTGCCATTATCATCGCCCAGCTTCGCTTCTTCACTTCAACAACAAACCCACTCACAATCAGAATCCACCACCAGCAATCAATAAACATCGCTGCCCATAGATGTCACCTGAGCCACCATCAACCACTACCTGCAAATCGGGCCACCACCACTGCACAATCCCAGCCAGCAAATCACGCCAGCATGGTACAACACAGAAGCCTAATTCATCCAGAATTGTCACGTACCAGAAACCTCCGTAACTTTCACCGAGTACCACTGCCATTCTACCGACAACAACTTCATCGTCGGCGACCCACCACCGGCCCAATCTTTAGGGCCCAATTGTTTAACAACTTTCTCAAAGATTGCAGCCGACTTCGTCAACCACGCAATTAACTGTCTCCGTTACCAACTGCTTCCACCGATCACAAAGCACCATTACAGCCGCTTGAGGTCAACTAGACAACAGGGAATCACTGTCTCCTAATTCTCATTGATTTATACTGCCATTTCATTTTTAAAGTGCATCGTTTACATTTTTTGTGTTGATGTTACTCTCATAACTTCAGTCGTAAGCTTCACTTGACTGGAGTCACTCACTAAATTGCCATTGTTACCCTATTTATCTACGAGATTGGAAGTTTTGACAAATCAATTAGACTCTTGCTTTATTATTTACAAGTATCAGCACTATTAACTTACATATTTGAATTATGTAACCCCAAACTTTGTTTTTAAAAAAAAAGGGAAAAGAAAGGAGAGAGAGAATTTCATATTGAGGTTTTTAATTGTTGGCCCGTGTTGCATATTGATTTCTCTATTGCACTTCATTTAGGTAGTATTGCATTGCATAGGGGTTGCGTTACTACCTCTAGTTTTAGTACCTTTACCATGGACCTTTCTCAAATTGAGCCCCTCACCCGACAATTGGCACAATTACAAAATCAATTAGCGGCTGTTCAAACTAAAATGGCTGCCACTCGTGAAAAAAGTAGAATCCTCATTGTAGAATGAACAGTTTTGAGCAAACCCCTCGTTTGACTAGTGTTCTTAACTTTGAAGTATCCCATAATAAACAATATCATCATCGATAGGGTGATCGAAAACATTCTCGACACGATCGTAAGGATAGGGATCAAGTTACTCATGGTACTCATTCTCTTCCACGTCATGAGGAGCATTCCTATAGAAACATTAAAGTGGATGCTCCTACTTTCGATAGTTGCTTAGATTTTGAAATTTTTACTCAATGGACTACCCTTAAACAAGGAAATCAGTTAGTGACTAAGTATATTGCTGAATTTGAGGAGTCTCGAATGAAATGTCATGTCTTTGAGGATAAGTACCTGACTTTGAGTAGGTTTATCGAAGGTCTAAGAGAGGAACTTAGGCGTGAGCTTTTCTTTCGAGGTGTCACTGCTCTTGATCACGCTTACTCTTTAGCTCGAAACTACGAGTTACTTATTAGTACTCCATATGAAAAGTGTAATCACCATCGTTCACTCATCTCATCAGCACCACCTCGTCATAAGTCTATCATAGAGCCTTCCTCGTCTGATGTTCCTTCCAAATCAATGACACCTCCTCCTGTTAAATCCTTTCTAGGACCTCCCATATCTATTTCTTCTCACTTGCATTGTTTCAACTATAAGGACTTTGGCCACATCTCTTCCGAATGTTCTAGTCGAGCCTTAACCATGGAAGGAAGAAAGAAAGAATGTAATAGATGAGCCATTAAAAGGTCTAGTTTATGAACCTAAACTTGAAGATTTTGATGACTTGGATGATAATGAGGACACCTCATTAGGTAGTATCCGGACTTTTCCTATAACTCTAGGTGCTGTACCTCTTGTTCTCAATACCTCTCAGTCAAGTGTTGTGTGTCGTACCTTTATCCAACCCAAAGGTCCTGATGATTTACGTAATCATGCCATTTTCAAGGAAAATATGGAGAATTGGAATTTGATCCTTCCAACAACTCAAATTGCATATAACATTTTTGTGAATCGATTTATAAGTACGAGTTTCGTCGAAGCTATTCAGGGTTATAAGTCTAAGATGCCTTCAGACCTTATTCCAATGTCCCCAAGTGCTAGTGTGTCTATGTCAGCTGAGGCATTTGTACATCATCTTCACAACTTGCATAATGAGATCAATAAACAATTTGAAACAAGTAATGCATTATATGAACTTCGGCTACTTCAAACTGATTTGCATAAGCTAAATTTTGAATTTAATATTAAGGATTATGTTACATTGCAAGCCTTTAGTGCTGATCCTTATGAAATTTTAAAGCATGTTGGTCCAAATACATATATCATTGATCTCTCATCACATTTTGGCTACCACTCTACTCTAAATATTGAGGACTTCGTTACTTACAAACACCGTTTTATGCCCTTTAATGATCCTTTTTCTACTTAGCTTTGTGTACCCCCAACTTGACTATGTTGATATTTCTACCTCAATACCACATATCACAGCACACAAAGATAAAATTGATATTATTTTAGATGAACGTATTGTATTAACCAATGATGGCAAAATTCAGTACTTCCTTGTTTGTTGGGTAGATTGACCTGCTTCTTATACCTCTCCTTATGTACAATCATTTGAAAATTTTGAAGATGAGGTGCATGAGTATTGATCATTTGGAGTCCAGTATTAGTACTTGATTAGAAGGAAAGACCACCCCCTTGACGAGATCATATTTTTGGGAATAAGCTACAGTTTTCAGTACTATCAATCTTGAAATTTTGGTACTTGGTTCTTCAGAAAAATCGTCCCCCCATGGCTTGACTTGAAGCATTTGGAGTATTAGATTGACTGCAGCCTATAATAATGTATCAACTCGACAGGATCGAGTTTTTCTCCCACCTCGAGAGAGTTGATAAGGACATAATTTATTTTATTTATTTTTAGTTGGACTTTATTTATGTTTTAGATTCCATTTATGTAACTGGGCTTGTATTGACCAAAGTCCATTCTAGGTAGAGTTTTGTTTTTACTATTTAAACCTAAGTTGACATGTAATTTCATTAGTTTGATGAATTGAAGAATATTTTGGCGGTTTGTTGCCTATGGCTTCTTTCTCCTCTCCTCCTCCTTGATTTCTCCCTCTTCTCCAGTCCCCCCTCCCAATTCTCTCCGATTCTCCCCTCTTTCTTGCTCTCTTCTTTTTATCCAGCATCAGATGTCATCGGCAACGTTTAAAATTTTAATATTTAAAAATCAAAACTGAAGCCTAAATAAAATTGAATAAGTAGCATTTAGAAGTTTTAGACATGAGCTTCTCAGTTTACAAACAGGATAATTCGACAAAATGCTCTTGAATGAATGCTAAGTAGATGAGAAAGAAAGTCGCGTCCAATCAAAAATAAAATAGATTGAGAATATCAAAAACAATACGTATGTATCTAAAAAAATTAAACACCAGTTTTTTTTTCTCGAGATGCTATTAATGCCTTACATGTAGAATTTCTATCAGAGAAGGGCTCCTATCTATAAACTGGAGAACAAACATGGAAATTGTAGAAAACATAGGCTTGGCTAACATCCTTACCTTAGGGCTTGAGGCTTCAACTCTCCATATGAGATAATAGCACCTCAAAATTTTATATTGAAAAATTTAACATCTTTTATCAAGTATCACGAACCGTGGTAATACAATTGTTATACCTATAGCTACACACACACACACACACATATATATATTAACATACATATAGATAGATAGCTAGATGGATGGATGGATAGCTAACTAGAGAGATAGATAGATTGTATATTGTAAGAATTATATGGATGAAATATTTTATGATCTATATAAATGTGTGCATGTAAGTTAACACCAATAAATTGAAACATCGTAAAATTATAATATCTATGGGGCAAGGATGCTAACCTGTCGAGGTTGAGAGACCAAAGTGCTTGACTCATCAGCATCACTATAAGAAATTCCATCATCAAACGTGCCTCCAAAACCACCTTCATCATCCCATGATGGCATTTCTCCATAGTCATCTCTTTGTGGACTTACTTCATCTAACCACGACAAAGGGTTAGCACTCGTCTTCAAACAGAACTAATTTGGAAATTTTGATTGATTCTTGATAAGACATGATAAAGATATGCATTAGTGTACAAAGGGAAAAATACAAATAAATAACAAAAATCTTAAGTTATAGAAGTGTAACACTCCATATAAAATGATGTGGGATACAAAGCGATGTAGAGAGGAAAGGGAGGGAAGGGAAAAACATTAAAATGTAGTCAAATATGATTCACTTAGCGGTCACCAAAATAATGTGACATT